GTTCTTTCTTTCCTCTAATCTATTCTTCCTAAAATCTCCTTTGAGATATAACTGACATAAAACATTATATTCATTGCAGATGCACAACATAATAATTCACTATTTGTATATATTACAAAATGATCACCACAATAAGTCAAGTTAACATCTGTCACCATTTTTTTCTTGTGATATAAACTTTTAAGATCTACTCTCTTGGGGCGCCTGGGTGGCTCAGTTGGTTAAGCGTCTGCCTTTGGCTCAGGTCATGATCTCAGGGTCCTGGGATGGAGCCCCACATCGGGCTCCCTGCTCAGCGGAGAATCGGCTTCTTCTCTCCCCCTGCCCCTCCTCCCTGCTCATGCTCTCTCTCTTGCTCATATACTCTTGCTCTAAAATAAATAAATAAAATCTTAAAAAAAAAAGATCTACTCTTTTAGCAACATTCAAATATACAATACAGTATTATTAACTATCTCACCATTCTATTCCATTCCATTCCATGATTTACTTTATAACTGGAAATTTGTACCATTTGGTCCCCTTCACCCATTTTGCCCACACCACATCCCCAGCCTCTGGCAACCACGTAAATATTCTGTATATCTGTTTTGGGTTGTGTTTTTTTTTTAGATTCCACATATAAGTGAGACTAAAAATATTTATCATCCTTTTCCTGTTCAAAAGGTCTTACACTGTTTTTTCATGTCTTTAGTTTTTGGTTTAGTTGCTGCTGGATTTTCAACGCTATCAATACATCAATATGTCAAAAGTGGAACTGGAACCAAGTCTTAAAAATTCCTATTTTTAATGTAGGTGCTTTACAACTCTCACGAACCCTTTTAAATGAGGAGGACACTGAGGGGGAAAAACAGACTCTAAGAGATGGCAGCTAACTTTTCTTCAGTGATGCAAATTTCTAAACCTACAAAGGCCAACTCTCCCTTCTAATTTCATTTGCAGTTTAAATGCTGTGTCACTGAAAGTTATACCACATACTGAACTGTTACCTCTTATGCTGGCTAGATATCCTCTCATCTAACCTTGATTTGTTCAAAATTAATGTGATCTAAGACAGGGAGGCTTTAAAAGCAAAACATTTTTTAAAATATGTGATTCCCTTTATTTATATGACCATATGTTATGAAATTCCACAGAATTAATTCTTAAATGTAAAAAATCACATACCGAAGTAGGTGGAAAAAATATTTACAAGATTTTCTAGAAATTTGCCATTAAAAATAGCATTCCATGTAGCTCATGGAGCTGATAAGGGATTCACATCCTGACTATATAAAGAACTCCTATAACTCAACAACCAAAAAACAAACAATACAATTCAAAAGTGGACAAAGCACTATGAGTAGACTTTTCTCCAAAGAAGATATATAAACGGTCAACAATATGATTGCATGATAACATAACATCAATAGTCACTAGGGAAATGCAAATCCAAACCACAATGAGATTAGCACTTCACAATCATTAGGATGGCTATTATCAACAAAACAGAAACTTAAAAGTGTTGACAAGGATGTGGAAAAAGGACAATCTTGGTGCGTTCTTGGTGAGAATAAAAAATGGCTCAGCCAATGTGTCAAACAGTTTGGCAGCTCCTCAAAAATTAAATGTAGGATTACCAAATGACCCAGGAATTGCACTCCTAGATAGAAACACACAAAGGAATTGAAAACAGGTACTCAGATACTTGTACACCAATATTCACAGTAGTATTATTCACAACAGCCAGAAGAAGAGAAACAACCTGGGGCACCTGGGTGGCTCTGTCGTTAAGCGTCTGCCTTCGGCTCAGGTCATGATCCCAGGGTCCTGGGATTGAGCCCCGCATCGGGCTCCCTGCTCAGCAGGAGGCCTGCTTCTCCCTCTCCCACTGCCCCTGCTTGTGTTCCCTCTCTCACTATGTCTCTATCTGTCAAATAAATAAAATCTTTAAAAAAAAAAAAAAAAGAAGAGAAACAACCTAAGCGTCCATCAATAGATGACTGGATAAACAAAATGTGGTAGGTGTGGACCATGCAATATTATTCAGCCTTAAAAAGGAAGGAAATTCTCATACAGGCTACATAATGAATAAAACTTGAAGATGTTATACGGATAAAGTGAGCTAGACACAAAAAAGCAAATTTTGTTTGACCCCACTTATAGGAGGTAATTAGGATAGGCAAATTTGTAAAGATAGAAAGTAGAACAGAGGTTACTAGGAACTGGGAGAAAGGGGAATGGGGAGTTCTGTTTGATAGAGACAGAGTTACAACGTGGGAGGATGAAAAAATTCCGGAGAAGGCTGGTAGTGATAGTTGCACAACACTGTGATGAATTTAATGCTATTGATTTGGTACTTAAATGGTAAAAATGGTAAATTTCCTGTATTTTTACCACAATAAAGAAAATCGCACTCCAAATGTTATAATAATTTGCTTCATCACTACCTTCAAGGGATTTTTACAAATAAAGTCTCCCTCTACCAAAACCTGAAGTTTTGTTTTTTTTTAATCTAATTTTGAGATGGAAAATAATGTGCCATTGGTACATGGAAGCCTTGAAAGAAATTAGAATCCCCCATAACATAGAATGCTAGGAAATCCCACACTCCCCAGGCCTAATTATATAGGAGAATCTCCTTCCAACAGCCCATACTCATTGAAGGACACGCATAGTTTTGTGCACTCCCTGGCATTCTGCCTGCCTTTCAGATCCTTTCTTCCACTTAATGCTGATTCATGTAAACATATCAATTTTCTCTGATGGTTGTAGCTTAGGAGAGAAAGGAAGTACTATTTTTAAAATATCATTTGCTTCTACACTAAGAAAAAGGGGAAATTATGGAACAATGTCCAGAAAGATTATTTTTTTAAATGAAATCTATTTTCCATCCCAGAATCAACCAACAGCAATTTTACAAACTGTCAATCAATGTTATTGAGCTTTATTTTCTTGGAATTTATGTTATTTTTATATTATAAACTATAAAATTCCTTCAAAGCAAATAATTCCATTCAACAAACACCTATAGATCCAACAACCGTGAGCCTTCTGAAAGAAAGCAGAAATATAAGTCATTTCATGCACTAATACATCTGGTATTTATTTATTTATTAAAGATTTTATTTTTATTAAAGATTTTATTTATTTATTTGAAAGAGAGAGAGCATGTGCGTGGGGTGGGGGGGTGTGGGGGTGGAGCGGTGGAGGTGAGGCAGGGAAAGGGAGAAGGACAAGCAGACTCTGCACTGAGCAGGAAGCCTAAAGTGGGGCTTGATCTCTGAGATCATGACCTGAGCCAAAACCAGAAGTCCAATGCTTAACCAACCGAGCCACCCAGGCACCCCACATCTGATATTTAAAGTTGTATTAAAATCTACTAATACTCCAAAATCTGTATGCCTTCAAATCCATTAGAGGGTCCACAGATTTTGAAATTCATTCTTTCATAAAACTGACTTTACGGTCCCTCCCGGAATAGGAATGTAACAGAACCTGCTGCATGAAAATATTATTGGGTTAATAAATTTATTCTACAGTACATAACAAAGTACAAGAATATTTGAAGTTAATTTTTATCATCATTTCTGGATTTGGGTGAACTGTGGCCCAGAGTCACTACATAATGACTGCCTGAGGCTCATCCAATAAAAGCCCACAAATATATCAAAACCCTCATAGTGCATAAAGCACACGTGCACTCTCATTTTAAAACAGAACTCTAAAAACAGCTTGATTTCTTTTTATATTAATACTGAATTTCACATAAAACAAAAGGCCCTGACTAAAAATGATATATGTTGCCTAAACCAAGACAGGGTTACAATAGGCAGCCTTGTGCTCACGACATGAGGTGCTGAGGTAAACTGGCGTCATTGGCATTTATACCGAATAAGCCACCGGGAAAGTCTTGATTTACGTTCACCTAAATCCCCGGGATATGGTTTCTCGACCACTCATCTAGTTTGATTTTTCAGCTAGAATGTCAATGTAACAAGGTAACTAGTGCCTCCAGGAACAAGATGCAACATGATATAATTACTATCTGGAGGAAGAAGACCTGAGTCTGAATGCTAGCTCCATCACTAAGTGTGACCTTTAAGTAATTAACCACTTGGATCCTGTTTCCTCTTCCGCAAAGCTGAAACAAAAATCACTACTTTTCATGCTGAGAGGAAGTGTACAAAAGCAGTTTGAAAACTGTAAACTAATGTAACGATACTATTTTTTATTATTAACAAGTAGTTCTACTTCTGCTTTTTCCTCCTGTGTGCCTTATTGTAGAAGAAAAAAGTGCCAAAAAAGAAAAGAAAAAAGAAAGAAAAAGTAAAAGAATCTCAGAAAAAAAGATCAGAGGCAAAAGAGAAAAAAAGAGGATAAATGTTCACATAAAAAGAAAAACTATCTCAACATATTAGCATCGCGTTAGGAATCAAAATTATGACATTTTCTTCCCAGAAATGCTACTATTCACCGAGCAGAGCTGGTGGGTAGGTATTTCTGAGGCCATAATATAGACCTTCTGTATAATTCCAGGCAGTCAGGAAGAGGGAGAAGGCGAGAAGATAAAGGGACCCAAACAGAAATGAGGTGACCACTGTATAAAATTTGACTATCCAGCAGTTCCATCTCAAAACTTAATTGAGAACAAGCGACAAAACAAAAAAGGTGTTTTGTCACCTGTCAAAATAGGTGTTACCAAGTCTGTACAGAAAAGATCACACAGGACCTACCTGCAGCTATTTTGGGCTACGTTTAAACAAGCATGTTTATACGATTTCCAAGTTTACAGCAAACCAGAAGAGCACACTGGGAGAAGGAAGAGGAGAAGCTACAAGGAGGCACACGACAGCAAAGTGAAATCAAAGCTGGCAGCTGGACCCCAAGGAAAGGGACCAAAACAAGCCGAACAGAGGAATACAAGCAAACAACAGACAGCAGGTCTCAGAAGCACAAGAGTTTGAGGTCGCTGCCTCTGGGAATGACCAGCCCTTCCTTCCAACTCCAGACTTGCTTACCGTGCAGTCTGTAAACAGTGTTCTTCAGAATTCTGGAGACAGCAGAGAGACTCAGTCAGTGGCAGCGACAAGAGAGCAGCAGGGCGGAGCTGGATGCCAGGGGAAGGGCAAAGCCTCAACTCTGTCCCTCTGCAGAAGCCACCATCCACCAAAGCAGCCCTGCCTCATTCAGCTTTACTTAGTGAGGCTTCTTTGATGAAAGGGCCCTGTTGGCTTAAAAAAAATTTTTTTAATTAAAATTTGACCACCACTGACTTCCACACTCCAGGATCCTTAAATGCAATACGTTCCAATGTAGTAATGGACTCTATGCCAGGAGTTGGGGAGAGGGAGGGATGGACAGGTAGAGCAGGGAGGACGTTTAGGGCACTAAAGCCATTCCGCATAATACTATAGTGGTTGATAGTATTATGTGCACATGACACAGCTGCACAAACCCACAGAATGTACAACACCCCGTGTACTTGGAGTGATAATGATGTGCCAGTGTAGGTTCATCAGTCGTAACAAATGAACCACTCTGGTGGAGGACATCATACTACCTTAGACTATGCATGGGGGGGGGGGCAGGAGGCATATGGGAACTCTCTGTACCTTTCGCTCAATTTTTTCTGTGAACCTAAAACTGCTCGAAAAAATAAAGTTTACTATTTTTTTTTTTAAAGAGAAAGAAATGGAACCTATTAGCTTTCTTAAACCAGTTTTTCTTCCTGCATTCCATATTTTCTGGTAGCACCACTCCCAACAACTTGCCCAAGTGAGAAACAGACTCAGAAAAACCCCATGGAAATCTTATTCCTCTTCTTCCTCAAGCCCACATTCAATAGGTCATTAACTCTCATGGATGGACCCTCTTACATATTTCGTAGCTGTGCCCCATCCCAGACGTCCCTAATGGGTCTGCTCCATGCAGGCAGCTCTGTCCTACTGGGCCTCCCCCATCCACCCACCCCCCAAGAGACTACCCTCCCTGTTGGGCCCCTAATGCCCTGTCACTCCAAGTCCAGAGCAGATCCTGTCACACTCTTTAGTGACATATCCTGCTGTGAGACTGAAGCAGAATGGGACACTATTTCCAGGGGTTGGGATTAAAAGTATTTTATTTGTGCTTTAAAATGTTTGTCAAAAACATATATGTGTATATATAAATTTGTCACCAAATTTCTTTTTTTTCCTAAAGATCTTATTTTTCTTTTAAGTAATCTCTATCCCCAACGTGGGGCCCCAACTCACAACCCCGGGATCAAGAGTTGCATGCTCCACTGACGAAACCAGCCAGGCACCCCATCTCCAAATTTCTACTATGTGCATGCATTTATATATTTTAATCTGAAAAAACAAAAACAGTATCCTGGGTAAGATTTAATGCTTTTAGCGTCACTTTCAAACCAGGTTCTGCTTCTCTGGTTCACAATCTTTCTCCTCAAACTACATTCCCTTCTCATCAATCCTCCTCATTCCTTTTGTCCTTCACTGCCTCCCCTCTGCCCTGAGGCCTGTGTGCAGCTACATCCTGGAAACCTTCCCCACGGCCCCAGGCAGCAGCATTAATGAGCTCTCCACAGCTCCTCCCAGCTTCCCCAGCACCTGGCATATACCTTCATGAAAGCACAGAGGACGCTCCCTTCCTTACATTTGTTACTTGTTTTCCCCAGAGACACCCAGCCCCTTGGCAAGGCCACAGGCCATGCCACAGAGTGGTCTGAACAGTCTTAACACTACAATAAATGTTGCTTGAGTGAAGGTAAAATCCAGCTTTATCAATCACGTTAACTACTGTATTATTAAGCCCATGTAATTAGGCTACCTTTTGACCTACAGCCCATTGCTTTGCTGATGTAATATAACAAATTCCTTGGACAGGCAGAAGCATATAATGCATTCCCTCCTTCCTGTGCATTTAATAGTCTTTCTACTGAAGGTGCTGTTGTATAGCACACTAACCTGGACGTGAATACCTGCAAAGTGTTAAATGGCTATAAATAATATTTTAAATGTTTTTTTAAATGGTATGTGGGTAATTTTTTTAACATTTTATTGATGCGTGTGTGTTGTGGGAGGTTGAGTTTCCTGGCCAAGGGCTGCCTGAGTGGTGGAGGTTATAAACTGATGGAGAAGAATCACTCGTAACTGTGTTAAGGATTGCCATTTGGGGTAGTTCAGATTTTTAATTGCCAAAGATATTCATGAAGCAGTGGAGATGCGTCAACACCATCTCACCAGCTTTGCTAGGTGTCCATATGGCTATTTAGAAGCACCACGCCCCTTCAATTTGTCTTCAGTCTCTTTCAAACACATCTTTGATGATGTGATTCTCCTGTTCAAGCCCTTTAGTATTTCTCTTTTGACCACAGGTTAACATTTAATAGTTTTCTCTTGCCTACAGATTAAAATCCAAATGCCTTATCCTTCCTTCTGCCTTATTCTACAAAACACCAAAATATGTTAGGGAAGAGAAAGGACGGTGGTTGAAGGAAGAAACTAAATGTAACAAGTATCAAGGATGAGCCAGAGACCTACGCCAGGCGCTGGTCCTTTCCCTCTCCAATAGTATAGTCTACAGCGGGAGATAAGAATCTAAACACATTATTGCCAGACAGGTGATACATTATTGTAACTGCTATTAAAAGGGCCAGGGGCGGTTTCCTGTAGGAGGGGCCATGCACACTCACTCTTGAACCAGTAGAGGGTAAGAGGGAAAGCCAGAGAAGCAAAAGCTCTTCTCCTGACAGACACAGTAGTACAATTCCAGGCCCAGGGATGTCTTCCGCATCCTTCAGTTCTAAACAAGCACCTACTGCAAGAATCTCTATTCCCCTTACACTTTGTATTTCACTTTTATTTAGAGTCCTAAAACCCCAAATGGGACCATTGTAAGTATCTTTGTCAAGAGTGACTCAAAATTCACACACAGTAAAAATGGAAAAATATAGAGAAATCCAAATAGATTACTTTTTTTTTTTTTTGCATAAAGAAACTATTGGATAAATATTTTGATATTTGCTTTCCTGACCTCTCTCTTTCTAATTAGGCTATGAAGTCCTGATTTTATTTTCTTTTAGTACTTTATTTTGTTATATGGTCCCTAGGGTTTGGGGTCTCGTAGGCAGTGTAATTACAATAGGCACAGAGTAAACAATGATTGAATGAATAACCTATATAAGTCCCCCAAACTTATAAGTCCCACTTTCTAGCGCAATGACTACATCCACAAGATCACATTTTAAAATCCCAAACTTAATCCATACAATATCTTGAAAAAAATTTAAAATGTGTATTTGCAAGCAATTTAAATCAATGACAACAGAAAGGAAGTGCCACTCCTCTGAAGTAACACCTAGGCACCAACTTGCCATTGTTTGCAAACACGGCCAACACCTAATGACTGTTTTGTGTAAACACAATTAACCAATAAGCCCCAAGGGAAGCATTTCTGTACACAAAGGTTTCCCTATGACAAACACCTAATCTAAATTTTGCTCCTAGAAGTGAAATTCTACTATCACCAGAAAACAGGGAAAGAATGGTATCAATGCACCAACAAGTGAAGGAAAACCACAGGAGAACTAAATTCTTTTTAGCTTTAACACATTTTCTCATCTTCCACATTCACTGGCTTCTAATAGTCACTCATATCATTAATCATAACCATTAATCATAACCGTAACAATAATCTCCTATCATTCATCATAACCATTAATCCTTGGCAGTGCCACTTAATGAACAAGTTGTGCCAATTTCTGGGTAGTCATTTGGAAACTGGAATTCATTTTCCCAGAGAAACAGTGTTCTGAGTGCTGACAGATTCCCTGGCCAGCCCACTGAGACCCTCTGAACTCCTAATACAGGCACCTTTAATACTGCTAACACCAACTCAAGTAAGCAATGTGTGCCTTTGGCATGAGTAAGCTTGTCCAAGCTAACGTGTCTCAGATCCTCACAACCGTCCCGATGTACAAACTTTTCAACGAACTCCTCTTCCTATGCCAGCCAAACTCCAGTACTCTCCTGTGTGATTCCCAGCAAAGAAAAAAAGCAATATGAATTAGTGGATTAGTGGATTTATAATGAAACATGAATAGAAGTCAAATATTCTACCATGAGATGGAAAACTCTGATGGAATCTGTGAATCCTTTTAGGAGTTAATTTCTGAAATGTGTGGCTCCCAAGTCAGTTAAATTTAGATACAAGAATTCAGAAAGCAACTCCCAGCACTTCAGTTGAATTTCACCATCCATCAAACTCTGCATTAAAAAAAAAAAAAAAAAAATCTGCAAATCTGCTCCAGACCTTCCACAGCCTGTTAATACTTAGGACAAACTCCTTCAAGGCTTCTGATAAACGGTCCCAAATGACAGTTCCGGATCTATCTCCTACCCTACCCATGAGACAATTTCTGCATTTCATCAAATCAAATCAAAACATAGAGTTAACATACACACTAACCAAAGCAAATCTACATTTGATCAGCTTCCAAGCAATTTAACAGATTAAAGTGAAAAATATTAGGCTACTTGGAAGAAGATATTCCTCAGGATAAAGCGGGGCTGGGATCCAGTGGGCTCACGGCCCAGTCCCCCTGGGGAAGCACTCTCAGGCACGGTGAATGTAAGTAAGCTGTTGCTACTCACAGTGTTCACACCTCCATTACTCCCAATGCCTCCCTCTAAGCTGTTTCAGAAGGAATCTCCAATGTCAACCTGTCTGGGTGGCCCCCAGAGCACATGTACACTTTACAGATTATTTGTCCAGTGGTCGAAAACTGTGGAGTTTTTGCCAGGTCACTGGAATTCTAAGATGAATGATCATCCCTAGTGATCTCAGTGTTTAATAAATCAAAGACTGCTTTTCATTAAACCCATTTCATGACTGAGGAATACATGTTTTCCATTTATAGTCCTTCAAAATTAAATTTGAAAAAGGGGAAGAGGAAGTGACCAAATATTAAATATTACATATCCCCAAAGGGAAATTCATATATTAAAGCAACGACACCAATGATATCCGGTAATCTGAATACAAAAGAGAGAGAGAAAATTTGATATTTAGTACGCCCCCCCAAAAAGAAAATCAAAATTATCTTTACAGGAAAAATCAGATTTTGTAGGACTCCTTTACATTTATTTTTTGGGTTAAATTTTTATCTTTGAATTAAATATGGGTTAGAGAATGAAGGGGAAGAACCAAAATCTTTTCAGTGTTTATGACTTCTAAAATGATACAGAACGGTACACATACATTTGTAATTTGTTTCTTACTATTTCTGCATTTCATCTTAAGTTCTGAATTTAAATTTTATGTCAGTGTCTCTTAGAGTCTTAGAAAATTGGTTTTGAGTTAATTAGACTTCCCAATTAAAACTGTAAAACTGAATGTATTATAGAGGCACGATATTTATACACAAATTATATTTTTTACATTACACTATATCTATTAATTCTGAGTCACTTAACAGAGTATGATGCATTTTAAGAAATGATTTAGTATTGCTTATTAATACAATGAACACTGCACAAAATGGAGATTCAGCTCTCTGACAAGGCCGATAAGAAGACCCTTCATACATCCAACCTGACCAAAACAGAAGCTCATCTCAGTAGCAGTCTGCTTTTTCTTTTGTGAGCATAGTTTGAAACATATACACTAAAAATGGTATCAATTTTTATGTAGCTATGGGGGATGGGGAGAGGGGTCAGCATATCATGTTAGCGATTTTCTGTGGAATCACATTAGAGTTTCATTGTGGTAGCCATATCACATTAGAATCTGGTTTTTTTGTTGTTGTTGGTTTTTTTTTTCCCCCCTAAATGGTTTCCATTGTGTATTTAGTGAATCTGATATGGAAAATTGCTAATGCAATGAGTATCACATAAGCTTTCCTGACTGTAATGCTCAGCCACAATATTGAGAAGAGGCTCAACTGGACCAGAGGCATTTCAGGGCTAGCTCTCCACAGCCTCTGAACAAAGTCCTCAGCTCAAGTTCAACACTGGCTTCTTGAAAGATGGACCGCTAAGACCTACTGTATGGGGGAAACTCTTTTACAGATTTTGTTTCAGAAAAAAACATGGGTTCAGTGATAGATGTGTCATTTAATTAATATTTATTGACTGACCACTATGCTGGTCATTGTGGTCGGCATTAGGGGAATGAAAAAGATAGACAAAACATGGTCCATTCCTTCACAGATTTTGAAAGCACTGACTGATTAGAAGAAATAAATTAGCACATGAGTAACTTAATACAAGGAAAGGAAAATGCAAAGAGCCGTAGCAGCTCAGAGGAGGACACACCTGAGACAAGGGCCATCAAAAAGTCCTGTAAAGGCAACACCTGGTCAGGACCATAGCACGTGAGGAAGACGCAGATATATCTGAGGATCTGATGCTAGGTTGGGAAGCAGGGGGTGGCATTCTAGGCCTTAGCATGCGTAAAGATGCAGAGAAGAGAAAAGCCAGGGCATGACGGGAAATTATAATTCATTATTTTAATGACAGCATAAAATCTGGAAGGAGTGGGATGATAAACCTGGAAAAGTGGTCTGGGGTCAGCCTGCGGCTGCCACCACAGTAGAGTAGTACAGGGTGTTCCAGAAGGTTTGGGATGGAAGTGTCAGGATGCAGTCCACTGGCAAGATTAACACCTTCTGATGCTAACAGATTTTGTGAAATCTTAAACTTTAGTTAGCACACGTTTCTTAAGACAAAATTTATAGGAATATTTATTTTAAAAGGTTAGTTTGTTGCCAAGGGATAACTGTTTATTTTTGTTACGTGACTACTCATGACATGAACATTCATGAGCTTAACAGAAAAAGAAATCTATAAAGCATGCCCAAACTGTTATAAATACTTATGAATTTACTGTTTGCCCCCCCCCTTTTTTTTTGCTTTAGAATAACTTTTCAACTCACTAGCAACAATAACCAAGGAAATATAAATCAAACAGCCTAGAATTACAACTATTTGAAGAGATTCATGCTTTCAATGTACTGCTACATTTATTCTTTTATTCTGGACACTTCCCTGTTTCTGAATTCCTCTCCAAATGTTAGAAGTAATAAACAAAATCTGCACTAAGGTTTGTTAGAGGCTTAAAATGTAATTAGTATGTTTTGCAATAAAAAAAAAAGTCTTCATTTTCCATAACCTTTACCTTCCCTTAAAGCAAAGTACACTCTGTGGATAAGTATTATTTTTGACATAATAAAGCAGAATATGATGAAATATTGCAAAGAGAATGTTAGATATAAACTAGTTACCTAAGTGCTACAGACCCCTCCCGAAACATCAGCTCTCCAAAGGAATTTGCACTCATTAATCAGAATTAAACTATTTGTAACACTGAAAGTGAATATTTTAATCTTTATGAAGTAATTTCTTGACAGATTTTTTTTCTCCTCCAACAGACCACATGCACAGAAAGGATAAACAAATTTGCCAGTTGTTTATTACTTATATATATCCTTGGCAAGGTTTCATTAAAAAAAAAAAAAAAAAAAACACCTCTTCTTTCTCATTCCATGTCTTGGGCAATCAGGGATGCAGTAGTTGATATCTGTGAACATTCTCTGATTAGCCATTAACTGAAGATATAGAAGTAAAAGAAAAATATTTTAGAGAGAGAAAAGCCAAATAGTTCATGCTGACTTTAAGATACTGATGACAAAGCTGTGAGAATTATAAAGTACTTAGGGGTTTAACCTAAAATTTGTTTATACCTTTGATCTTTAGTAAACACTGTACTGATAAAAATGAGTTTGTTCAGATCAAGAATATGCTGGCATTCTCTTAAACATAGCTTAAAACCACAGAGCTGAAGCATAAAACAACTTGGACAAAGATAGCCAGTCAAGCATAAAAATGGGAGTTGGTTGTGTCAGAATAGATTAAGAGGCTGAAGGCTGTCTGCTAAAGACAGTTGTCTTGCCATCAATGAAGGCAATTATCATCACTAAAAGTTCTTTTTCTGATATATTATTTTAAACTTTTGTCATATTATATTTAAAATGCTCCTTATTTATAAACTATTACATCATTTTCTTATCTGCAGTGTCCTTCTTGGATAACCACAAATTTGAAAACAGTCCAAAATCTTGTTCATGGTTTCCTACAAGCATAGAAAGACTCACTTAGTGTATTTGGAGTTAGGAGAATGTGTTTGGGTTTTACTTTTACTTCCTTTTTAAATATAGATCGCTATTTTAAAAATATAAACATCCAATGGCATTCCCTCACACCAACAGGACTCCTAAGGCAGAAGATCTGTTCGTAGCATGAACATTTCACTCACTCAGAAGGATGCCCCAAAAGCTCTGCTCAGTTATGGCCAAGGAAGTAGCATTATCAAATGCCTCATGACTTGACAGTTATCCTCTATTATTCCTGCTAAACCACACTTCCAAAAGATCATCCGAGAAATCTGGCAAACCACTGTAATGACACTTGTAAATTGGATCCATTAAAAGCAATCCACAGTGTCCTGTGGGTGTGCATCCGACTGTTAATTACTGGGTAAATAATTTACATGCAACTTGATTCCGAAACTAGATATGTTATTTGTAGGCTATTTTTCAGGAGTACCAGTTCCAACCCAGAAACAAGTCAACGGAGTATTTCTAAATTATCATTTGAAATTTCCACTGTCAAGGGTGGGAGGAGGAAGAACAGTAACGGGAAGACTTGTCAGCGATTAGCCATCCATGAAAATGTTTTCCCCCGCGCTCCTCCTTCCGATCACAATGCTGGCGTCAGTTAGTCTCCTGTATCTGTTCCCCACCTCGCCCCCCTCCCCTCTGCGGAGAGCTGGCACCGAATGGCAGGCGAAGGAAAAGACAAACATCCCAGCTCCCAACACAATCCAAGCGCTAGCCCGGAGACACTTGAACAACATTCCTAACTTTTTTTTTTTTCTTCCCACTTCGCGAGCTTCAAAGGTAAGCAGAGTAAAAAAGCCTATGAGACAGAAGGCCAGGGAGGCCAGCGGAGTCACAATTACTACCCTCCACCCCGATTTCTCCACAGCCCCCCACTTTCGGCCACAACAAACGGTTACTCAGCTCCGAGTCTGCGTCTCCACGGCGCCTGTCCTCGGTGCTCGACCCCCGCGCGGCGCCCAGCCCGGGTGCCGCAGAGCTAGCGCGCATCCCTGCCCACGCCCTGGGCCACAGCCGCGCTCGCCCGGCGCCCCCGCCGCGGCACGAGCATCCTCCTCCGGGTCCCAGGTGCCCGCCGCCCGGGCGGCTGCGGCGGCCGGGAGGGCGCGCGGCCAACTCTCCGGAGCTGTCCCCTCCGGCCCCACCCCACCCCCAAACAGGCTCCACCAAGAAATACGGGGGTGGAGAGTACAAAGAACCAAGCCACACACCAACGGGCCTCGGAGACTTCCGTCGGGGAAGAACAACTTAGCCGCACAAGCACACGCACACGCTCTCGCCAGCGCGCGCCGGGGAGGGCATCTCTTACCTGTCCCCACGATGCCACTCATCCCTCCCCCACCCCAGGTCTGGCTGCCCCCCACCCCCGCCGTGGGTCCCGAGCCGCCCGCTCCAAGCGCCGCGCACTCACTGCGTGGCTGCGCGCGCCCAGCGGCTGCAGGGCCCGGCGGCGGCGGCGGCGGCGGCGGCGGGGACCGAGACAGCGGCTGCAGCGGCGGCGGCGGCGGCCCCAGCCGGCGTCAGTCAGACTGGAGCCGCGAAGCCTCATCGCCCGTATTAGTGCGCCGACCTGGAAAGCGGCCAGGAGCCCTGCGCACGGGTCCGCCCCCGCCCGCCGCCGCGCGCCCTGGCCGCTCCCGGAGCCCGCGAGGCGGGGGGAGCGCGGCCCGCCCCGCGGCCACGTGCGCGGAAACTTGCGGCCGGGGCGCCTCGGCGCGGCCCTGCGCCGCCCCCTGGTCCTCCTGCGGGACCCCAGGCTAGCGTCTGTGGGTGACTAAGCCCCGCTGGCGGGCCGTGCTGAGGAGGCTCGGGCCAGCGGGTCACCTCGCGTCTCTCTCTCTCTCTCTCTCTCTCTCTCCCGCCACCCCTGACATTTCTTGTGTCCGCCTGGAGCCTGAGGCCAAGGAGGGTTGTTACCAGAGCGAGAGATACAGGACCAACAAATCGGTTTGGATCCCCTTTGCCCCCCCCACCCCCCCACCCAGCCACTCTTTTCTGACACGTTTCTGGGCCCCGATGGTTGCTTTTACTTGCCGTTTGTTCTTTACTAGCTTTTCAGACTAAAGGGATCATTACACCCATCAACAGCACCAGAGCAACTGGTTTGCACTGGCATGGGCAGAAGAAAATCTAATCACTGTGAGTGGTGAGTGGTGGTAAAAACTAGTCATGTAATTATGTAGATTGTCATTTCTTTATGTGTATTTATTTGCTTAACAGCCTAGCATATAATAATATAATATTATCTAATCTAATAAAGATATGCACTGAACAGCGTTAATGTACAACCTTCTTGCCTCAGGGGCTGGCTACCCCCTAGGTAGCCTGTTTTTTGAGGTCACTGTGGACTCCTAGAACCCACTCAAAATACTTTTAGGCAATGCCACCAACATACCGATGGCCTTTGATTCCCCATCAGCCAGTACCTCTTCACGGAAAAGGCATTTAACTGCGGAGGCAAAGGTAGCATTAAGCGACAAGAGGACAGTATTCCTTTTGCTCCTATATATGGAAAAGGCCTCCAGAAGGCCTTGACACCCCTGAAATGTAAATGCAAGGCTTTGAATTTAACTGCTTGTTTCTAGTTCTCACACGCACTTTCTTCCCCGGCGGATGCCAGTTTTGCATTATCGTACTTTTGTGGTTGAGCGATGACCTTGTTTAAAACAGCATTTGTGGTTGAACCTTAAACTCGAATTTAAGTCCTCATTCTACACCTGGCCCATTTACCTCCACCGCTGCTCCAGGCTGGGTGTGCAACACCAGGAAACATTTGGACTGCTAAAAAGCTACAGATTGTGCTTGATGTGCCCTTTATGACAGTAAACTAATTAGGTCCTCAGAATGAATACCCTGTGGCTCACATTGTTTTTTGTTTTGTTTTTAATGCTATTGAGAAAAGAAACGGCCCAGTCACTATTTCAGTTTCTGTATGTGCATTAGACAATGCTGAGGACACAACGCAAGAAACTACAACCTCTGCAATGCTGGATTATGCTTCTGGCATGGAGTCTTTTTAAATTCACAGAATTCCCTTGGCTCTTGGCAGGATCTGGATTTGCAGATTCTTTGAGTGTGTGTAGTCTGCTTTTTCTGTACATTATCATTTACATACCAAGAAATTTTGGCACCTAGAAGTTAGCCTGTCACTTATACAATTCCTATCATTTATTCCTGAAACCTAGTATAGATCCATTATATACAAGGACAATAAGATCTGGTGAGTTCCAAGAAGAAAAGGCCCACTCCAGGAAAGAAGGCTCAGTGTTGACATTCCATTTTTCAGAAGCTGACTATCCATGTAACTGGAAATCCAGACTCTGCTGGATTTTTTTTTCTTCTTGATTAGCTGCAATCTTAGGCTTGCTAGAACTTTCACCAGAAAACTATGTAATGGGAATCATAGGAGGGGTGAGACTCAGTCACAGGTTGTGATTTAGTGGAACAGCCAGTAAAATTTTGGTTCAAGACCTGAAAACCACGGTGAAACTAAGCTCCCCCTTTTCTGAATTGCAATGACTTGGTGCAACATGAGCTCCTGCCACCTATAGAACAGGGATAGGAGGAGGAGTGTCCTTACCCATGAGAGGATCCGTCCTTTTCTCTCGTTAGATGCTCAGCATAGGACCTGATTGTGACAAAGGCTGTAGTAATCCATGGATACCAAGATTCTGCTCTGTGCATCAGCTGTACCTGATGTTTGATCTAGCATTATAATGGTTCCACTCGGAGCCGTAACTAGGAATTGTTGCCTACGGACCCCTTCCACTTCTGGTTTCTTTCGTACGTTTCATCTGTAATTCTGTCCTAACTCTGCGCTTTTTCTGACTCTCCCTTGAACTTCTCTTCAAGCCTTCATTCAGCCCATAACCAGTATTAGACACTTTCCTGAGCACAGGTGCCTGGACTAATCACGTGGACACAGAGCACTGGTCCTAAGGAAACTAGGTCTCACTAGGAAAGACACACATGTCAGTGATTATCATGCAGTAACTCTGTGTGTCATTTAGGGGTGAAGGCACAAGGGAGGTGTCAGGGAATCAACACAGAAACAAAATTTCAGCTACATCTTGAGAAGTGAGGATGAATGACCACTACCTCATAGCCAAAGAACCCCCATACCCACAGTCTGGGGGGAGGCAGCTCTGTGGGTGCTGGCTTTGCTGCAGAGGACAGCTGTATTGGAAAGGCAGTCCAGAATGCCTGCTCTGTGCAGAATAGTAGGTTTACGTATGAAAACCCCAGTGTTCCTGAGAACAGTCAAACTCGTTGGATAAATAGGAAAAATAATGTTATTTGGTCAGACGAG